CCTGGTTTTTAGCTCCCTGTCCCTTACCCTGCTCCTTGGTGGGGAAGAGACACTTCCAGTTCTGTAACCCACACTAATAGAAAATGGTTTTGCCTTGGAGAACTTGCTTAGGTTCAGCTCACCCCAAAACACCCTCCCACCCCCTGCAGCCCCAACAGCACACACAGCCACCCCCTGGCCCCATGCAAACCCCCCACCTGCTGATAATAACTGGGACCTAATGAACCAGCACCGTGAGGTTGCACACAGTGACCCAAGCTGACACTGCACGCTCTGTCACCAAAATAAGCCTCAAAAATGCCAGTAGATGTGTGCTCCCCATCCTCCTCCAGCCCAGGGAGCAGAGTAGGACTGACCCGTGGGGCAGGTGCTCCACAGACGGAGCCACATCTCCTCTGCTGTTGCATGGCTCACGGCTGTATGAGCACTTAGCAACAACCAAAGGACTATTTTTAACTTCCACTTCTCATATAGTCCTTTTGTCTCTCCCCTTCATGTCTTTTTGTACTAGCCAGTGCCTCCTTTTTACACAAAGTGAAAAAAAAACCAAACCAACCCAAATCCCCCAAATGAAAAACCTAAAGATAATGAGAATTGACATGACTTCAAAGAAAGCATTGCAGCTGTGGTTTCAGCTCCATTCCCTATCCTCTTTCTGCTGCAGGCCACCCTCTTCCCTTCTGGTAGGGACTCCATTTGCTTAATGCCACCCCCTTGGCACCGCCACAGGCAGTGAGCATGGGCAAGTCCTGCTTCCTTCCAAACCATGCTAAGCCCATCACCTCCACCTTGGAGGTTAATAAAGCAAATACTACCCATTTCATTCTTAATAGCAGCTTCTGGTAAAAGCTTACACACTAGGAATGGAGAGAATCAAGACAAGAAAAATTGTTAACACCAGATCACCTTTATTCTTACATCTGAGCCTACTGATGCACACTAGCACCCTCTGTCCAGGCACTACCACTGGGTAGGGGAATAAGAACTACAAAATTAAGTGTGGAAAAAAAGTCTTATGGTAACAGACCCCACCAGAAGCCCCAGGGTGAGAACACCAGAGGTGTCATCAAACCTGAGTGCTGCTCTCAAAGTGCAGGGCTCTACTGCACACCCAGAAACTGCTGCGCTGTTAAAAGCTGCTGTGGTGCCCAGGAGGGGGAACGCCAAAACCAAATTGCAGAAGCAGGAGTGAGAGTTCTAATTTGAGGCTGTGTTAAACCAAACAGAAAAGCTTTATCTCACTGGCCTTAGTACAGGCTAAAACCTCATGATGCTTCCCCACTTAATAAAACCAAGAAAGGGAAGTGTTCAGAAAGAAATACTGAGGACTTGTACAGCCTCAGCAGTTTTTGAAGTGGTTTTGATGGTAGCGATGTTCTGTGCGTGACCACAGTCCCGGGCTGAGGAGCACACAAATGACATCTACATGGGGAGCCAGCTAACAGCAGGGATGGTAAAGGAGAAACTTCTCTAGAGACGCCAAAGTAAAGCCGATGCTGTACCACTCTGCAGCCCCCCTTCCAAGAAAAAATAGGTCTGCAGCACTGAAGCTAACGAAGCTTGGCCTCTGGTGAGCCGGTCTCTCTTCATTAGAGGCAAACGTGATGCCTTCACCCGGGGCCTCTCCGCCCTCTTGCCACCTAGTTTTATGGGACCTTCAGGAATGCAATTAGTGCTGAGATGCTTCCTCCTTTGTCAAACTGCCTGGCAGGCAGCCAAGGGGTTCAAAAGCTGCTGGGCCATGCAGCCAGCTACCCCTTCCCAAGCCCGGCTGCAGGCAGGAGGGCTCTCTGCCGTGCTCCTGCAGCCACCCATGTTTCAGAGTAGGGGCCAGAGCAATCTGCTGAAGGCCTCAATGCAAGAGGGCAGCTTCTCCATCTGGAGAACAACTGGGAGCAAAGCGTTCAAGGGTTTGGGAAGCAACTGGCTGCTTGGTTGGAGTGTGATGCCATTGATAACCCAGGTGCATCTCTTTTGGAGGAACAGAGCACTTCTGGAAGCCATGCCCAAGGGCCCTTCCAGAAGCTGGATTAATGGTTTGAAACAGCTACTCTGGACCAATTAACTGGACTCAGTAAGCAACAGAAAAAATGACACTTCTTAGTGACTAAGAGGCATTGACTAAGAGTTGGATGCAACTTAAATCAACATTTATGGCATGTTATAAATGACATGTTTTCCTGCCTGCCTCAGAGGCAGCAGGAGGCATCTTAAATCTCCTACCTACAGGAACTAAATTCTGCTCCTTTAAATTGTCTCCCACCCAAAATCTGCTTCTCCACTTCTTAGGGCACTACAAAAGGACAAGAGCTGTACGTAGCACGGTCTGCAGTGATCTCTCCCCCCAAGCACTGACAAAATGAGGTGCCAATATTTATAAATGGACCAAGGGATGAAAACACTTTTGCTGGCCAAAAGACCAAGTACCAAGAAACAAGAAACTCCAAGTACATTTCAGACTATTTCAACCCCACTGTAGCTTTTTCTGGGAATACAGGATGCCTGACTGCAATCTGCTGCCCAGCCCTATGTCAAAGCCCTTGACAACAGTGATGAGTTCTGCTCATGGGTCCAAGTCAAGTAACACCCAAGTAAGGACAGCGACAGCAAAAATCTGCAGTAAAACAGCTCGCTCCACCACAGATTTTTGGTTTCTGCATTTGCTAAAACCTGTTGGTTTCCTCATGGTCAGATTCAGTCTGGAAGAGTGGTGGGCACTGGGATGTTGAGACCTTTCAGGGATAGAGATTGTGACTAGGAGAAGACAGAGTGAGGACAAGGTGTCATTTCTCCCCATTGCAGGGATAAAAGAAGCAATCAGACCCCATGTGGCCATCCCAGGAGATATTGTGTACCCAAGGTATGAACCAAACTACCCTGGCTGCCACCACACTGGTGGAATGAGACATTCAGTGCCAAGCTAAACAGTCTTTTCCAAGAAGGTCACACTTCTAGGGAGAAGAGAGCATACATCTGCTAGAAGCCACCAGAGATGCTTGTGTAGCAGAGGGCTGTTTGTTAGGGGCAGCTTTAGGCACAGCTCTGCTGTGCAAGCTCAGACACTTTTGGTGGGCTGAAGAACCCCCAAGCTTCTTGGGTTGACAAAAAACACGTCAAATCTTCTGCCATTGGTACAGTGCTTGCTACAGCTCAGATTTAGCATCCTAACTGCTGGAATTACAATAAATAAATAAATAAATAAAAGCCCAACAGCAATAGAAATACCAGGACACACAGGGAGAAACCACCCCATGCAGCTGTGTCAAACTCCATCCCACCCCTGGAGCAAAGAGGCCACTTGGCCTCAGCCTACCCTTTGTTTTCTTTCATAGCTATAAAAAGGACTTTTAAAGGACTTTAAAACACTCTGGCAAATCCCAAACCAGCTATATTGCTCTTCCAGAAACCTTCCAAAGGGACAGAAGAAAGCAGGTGCAACAGAAGACACACAGCTTCTCTTCCCTGTGAGTGGCAGAGCTCTGGCTGTCCTGATGAAAAGGAAGATTGAGCAAAGGGGTGTCGTCCCTCTCTTGCAGTACCAACCACTATATCGATAACTTCCAGCCTCCCTTTACAGCATTGCTGTCTTGCTTGGTATTAAATGCACGCATTTTGGGTGGGATGATGCTATCAAAACAACATGGAAACAGGGAGAACCTCCAGGCAGTAATACTCTTAATTACTTCACAGTTGAGTTTGTCTTTCCCCCACCTATTTCCAAATACCTCTTTCCTGCTTGTTCACCCCTTTTTCTTCTCTAAATCAGGAGGGAAAGCCCCAGCCCTCCCAGTCCGTGGCAGTCAATGTGGGAGGTGGCTCTTGCCTTTCTCACTGCTCTGCAGCAGGGAGTCCCAGAGCAATGCCAAACCCTGAAGTGTCACCTGCCCCATCTTCACCAGTGCTGCAGTATCACTAGCCAGGCTACAGGAAAATGAGCACAAACATCTTATGCCTGCTCAACAACATGACCAACCGTATCAAAAAGTCAGAAACTTGCACACAAAAGGTGCCACATCACTTACTGCCCAGCTCAGAAACACGCTGGGCAAGACAAACATCTGGGAAATAAAACACCATTTCCCCAAAGAAATATGAAAAATAGCTCTTTTTCCAAGCTTACACTTGTTTTGGATTTTTTGTCCAAGATTTTCAGACGAGAAAATTTTTTATTTGCCTGAAAGTAGGCGAATTTTAAAGAGCAACCTTTTGCCCAGCTCCAGCTAAGCGAATTATGTCCAAGGTCTAATCCAGGCAATTACATGCATGGTAAATTATGTGACCTTGGACTGACAAGGAATTAAATCAGTTTTAGCAAACATGGCTAAATAACTCATCTACCTCTGCTTAGGCAAAGCTGAGTGGCTACATCCTTCCCAGTGGATGACTTGTCTTCCCAGACAGAAAAATCTATACATAAAATACTTGTAGGACTCTTTAACACAGATTTTCTCTAATAAGTATCAGACTGAAACACAACCTTTCCTTTCACCTGTGCTACATCAGGGGATTACATCAGCTTCCTCATCTTTAGAAAAAGATTGTTTCTGCCTACGCAGGCAAGGATGGCACATGCAGAAGAAATCCAGCCTAAGAAGACACCAAAAAGTGTCAGAGGATTCAAGCCTGCAACAGTTTACTCTTTCCTAGGGATATACTACATTGTGCAAGAGATGCCCATGGTTACGTCAAAACCCAACCAAAGCCAAGACTGCTCCTCTCCATGGGCCCCATGCTGAGGACAAGCCTGGAAGGAGACATCCTTCCACGCCAGTGCTGGAAACACCCTTCTGAGGGTGATCCTGCGTTCTGGGGATCAGTCCTGAGAGGGATGCACTTAAACCTCACCCTCCTTTTTCCCGTGCAGAAAACGGAGCAGGGGTCTTTCCAGAGCCAGGCTAGGTGTCGGCGGGCGCAGCCCTCGCCCCCCTCCTCGTCTCCCATTTCGGGGCCGTGCCCCCGTTCCCGCGCAGCGGAGGGTGCGAGGGAGGGAAAGCTCCTACCTGAGCAGAGGACTCCCTTGTACCTGGCGCAGGAGAAGTCGTCGCACTCGCAGAAGGGCCCGTAGATGTTCCCGAACTCGCTCTCGTAGCAGAGGCACTGGTTGCAGCTGCACTCCCCTCTCCCGCTGCAGAGGGGTTTGCCCTCCGCCTCGCGGCACAGGGCGTGGTGCGTGTCCCCCCGGGCACCCTCCTGGCACTC